TGCAATGCCTACCAGCTTACGGGGCAGCCTTTATACCGCAAAATAATTACCGAAACACTCGCTTTTATAACAAGGGAATTGCAGCATGAAAGCGGTGGTTTTTTCAGTGCGCTTGATGCAGATAGTGAAGGTGTGGAAGGAAAATTTTACACGTTTACCTGGGCCGAATGGCTGGCTGTTTTTCCTGATGGAAACCCGGTCGCGAGTGCTTATTTCGGCATCGAGAAAGACGGCAACTGGGAGCATACCAACATCCTGCATATTGCCGGTGATATCACGGCTATTGCTACTGAAAATAATCTGACGGAAGAGCAGGTAATAACACATATTGAAGCGACGAAAAAAACGCTTTATACCGTGCGTGAAAAACGCATCCGGCCACATACGGATGATAAGTGCCTGCTGTCCTGGAATGCTTTAATGAATATGGCTTTAACCAGCGCCGGTATTGCCTTACAGGATAATGATTACCTGGATAAAGCAACGCAGCATATGGAATGGATGATGGCCGCTTTCAGTATGGAAAATGGCTTACAGCATACCTGGAAAAATGGCCGGTCGCGCATCATTGCCAAACTCGATGACTATGCTTATCTCATACAGGCCATGCTGCTTTTAGGCAGCGCAACTGACAACAATAAATGGATTGAAAAAGCAGCATCATTAACGCAGTTTTCAATCACCCATTTCAGCGATGAAAAGGATCTTTTTTTCTTCTTTACCTCTGATGAACAAACTGATATTCCAGTCCGGAAAATTGACATCTATGACGGCGCTACTCCTTCTGCCAATGCCGTAATGGCGCATAACCTGTTATTGCTGGGGCTGGCGATGGAAAATAGTGTCTGGCGCGGACGAGGGGAGCACATGCTACAGGCAATATCTGCAACAGCCGTACGTTATCCCTATTCATTCGGGTACTGGGCCACGTTGTTACAGCAGTTTTTGGCCGGTTTTAAGACCGTTGTAATCACAGGTGATCCTGTTGGGAAATATAGTGCGGATTTAAAAACTTATTTTTTACCCGGCATTTTTACGATTGCCGATCAGGCGGATGAAAAAAAACTGCCCGTACAGAAAGATAAGTTATTTAGTCGGGAAGTGAGACTCTATGTGTGTACCGCATATGAATGCAAGCCGCCAGAATCAAGCATAGTTGGAGTATTGAAACATTTATAATATTATGAGTGTGCCGGGGAAAAGGGACGTAAATGATTCGTTATTCACCAGAATTCTTAACA